AAAAAAAAAAAAAAAGATTAATATATGTAAAGGCCTGGCCAGCATGGCTCAGAGGTTGAGCATCAACCTAGGACTCAGGCAATCACANATATATTTAAAAAAAAAAAAAAAGATTAATATATGTAAAGGCCTGGCCAGCATGGCTCAGAGGTTGAGCATCAACCTAGGACTCAGGCGATCACAGTTTGATTCCCAGTCAGGGCACATGCCCGGGCTGCAGGCTTGATCCCCAGTGTGGTGCATGCAGGAGGCAGCTGACCAATGACTCTCTCTCATCATTGGTGTTTCTCTCTCTCTCCCCCTCTCCCTTCCTCTCTCTGAAATCAATAAAGATATATTTTAAAATATATACACACACACACACACACACACACACACATATGTAAAGGATGTAGGACATAATCTTTCTTTAATGCTTAATTTTACCTTGTGTTTTTTTTCTACTTTTACTTTTATTAGTATTTATTTTAATGTTGAATTTACTCCTGGGCTGTAAGTTTTTTGTTTTGTTTTGTTTGGTTTGGTTGTGTGTTTTTTGATATGTCTTTATTAATTTCAGAGAGAGGAAGGGAAAGGGAGAGAGAGAGAAACATCAATGATGAGAGAGTCATTGATCAGCTACATCCTGCACACCCCATACTAGGGATCGAGCCCACAACCCAGGTATGTGCCCAGACTGGGAATTGAACCTCAATCTCCTGGATCATAGGTCGATGCTCATCCGCTGAACCACGCCAGCCAGGCCTGGGCCATAGGTTTTGTTTCTTCAGTTTCTTCTGGGATATCTTTTTCTTTGTACAACCTCCTCTTCTGCTTTAGGAACAATCTGCTTTTTCAGTAACGATCATCTCAGTGTGGCAGGGAGAGCTCATGTATGGGTTAATCCATTCTTAAACTCTGTAAGTTCTACACCGCATTTTGGGAGCTTTGTTCACCTAGACGTGCTCAATGACCAGAGAATCTACATCTAAACCCTTAAGTTCAGCATTGCTCTCTGCATTTTTAAGCATTTGCAGCAGAAATTCAGCAGTTTTTGAGCCACGGACTCCGTATCCAGACCAACTGTTTCGCCTGGGCACACCTATCAACTCCACCATTGTAGCATTGGAATGGCACACATTGCTTCTATAAAGTGACACCCCTGAGATACCTGGTGGCTTTTCAAATACCCATACCCTTGGTGATCTAGACAGTTTCACGAGTGTTCTTAAAGTGAATGCAAAGATTTGAGCCTTGTGATTTGCATGATTTTGTGGGGTTTTCTGGGTCAAGTGAATAGTGAACCATTTTCAGAGGTCACCTCTGATGTATAAAGATCCAATAAAAACTAATTTCCTTTCCTCCCATACTCAAATTATACAGATGTTGGGGTATGTCTCTCTAATTTAACAAAGCTGCTGTTGAAGCAGTATTTATTAATCACTAATCTTCTTAAACATATATATAATTTTCTTAGTCACTAAACTAGGAACCATCCTGCCAAAAGGATTTAATTAGCTCAGTTTAGTTGGCTTACTACTGACAAGTATGACAAGTATCACTCACTTATTAAACAATACTCCTAGACTGCCCTGGCCAGTGCTGCCCAGTGGTTAGGGCGCTGGCCTGCAGGTTCAATTCCCAAGCAAGGGCATGTACCTGGGCTGCAGGTTCAATCCTCATCCTCAGTCAGCCCGAGGAGGAGGCAACCTATCAATGTCTCTCTCTCACATGGATATTTCTCTTTCTCTCCCTCTGTCCCTCCTTCTGTCCCTCCCATTCTCTTTAAAAAAAAAAAACAATGGAGCCCTAGCAGGTTTGGCTCAGTGGTTAGAGTGTCGGCCCAAGGACCGAAGGGTCCCAGGTTCAGTTCCAGCCAAGGGCATGTGCATTGGTTGTAGGCTCCATCCTCAGCCCCAGTTGGGGCGCGTGCAGGAGGCAACCAATCAAGCTCTCTCTCACATTGTTGTTTCTCTCCCCCCCCCTCCCCCTTCCACTCTCTCTGAAAAGCAATGAAAAAAATATCCTCAGCTAAGGATTTTATTTTTTTAATTTTTAAAAATCAATGGAAAAACTATCCTTGAGTGAGGATTAACAACAAAAAAACACCAAAAAAACGCAGCAATACTCCTAATACTATCTAAAAATTGTTACTTTATACACTTTTACAAAATACATAAAAAATACTACAGTGTTTTCTTGCATACTGTTTTGCCTTAATCCAAATTATAACACCTCTAAAAATATTTCTCTAAAAAAAAAAGATCTTCTAATAGTTGTACCTCTGTTATGTTTCTCTCTCTTAATGAAGCCAGCTCATATGGATCCACAAAAAGTCCTGTTGGGATGTACTGTTTAATTAAGAGTCGGCAGGTCTGTAAGTCCTCAATGCTTTCTCCAAATTTCACTTTTGTTAAAAGGTCTCTGTAAGACAAATTTTATAGTTAAAGTAAATCTCTTCATTCAGTTGTTAATGAGATAACATTACATTCAAATTAGTAAAAACACTATATTTCAAAAGATTATAAAGAGACTAAAGTCAAGTGAAATATTTATGTCATGTCAGAACCACCCATTAGATCTTTCATAAATTCATGTCACAAACTATAGTATTATATTAGCGCAATGATTTTCAACCAGTGTGCCACAAGAGGCATATCACTGTGCTGTAAAAATTTTTAAAACATACAATGCCTGGGCTACCTGTTTGGGATCCCTCTCACTGTGGCAGGAGCTTTTGTCTCTCCTTCAATAAACTTTTGCTTTCGCTCAAAAAAACAAACAAACAAACATGCAATACCTGACTACTTAGTCAGGGGCACTGACCTCTTTTCCCTTAGACTGTCAAATAAAAAAATAACAACAGCCATCACAAAAATAGACATCCAGTGTGAATGAATCAAAATTACAGCGATATTTTTTTGTCAGATCAACAAAAAATATATATCTTGGTGTGCCACAGAATTTTAGTAATTGGTTTATGTGTGCCATGAGATGGAAAAGGTTGAAAATAGCTGTATTAGTGTGAAAACAGACAAAGATCAATGGAAAGGAATAGAGTCAAAAAATAGACACTCACATATTTTCAATTAAGATGCCTATATAATTTGATGGCGGAAAGGATAGTCTTTTCAAAAAATGGTACTGAAACAAGATATCTATTTAGAAAAAAAATGAACCTTGACGTCCACCTCATATCATATACAAAAATTATTTTGAAATAGACTATAAACCTAAATGTATAATTGTCCCAGCTTTCTGTCTGGAGGTACATTTTGGACCAAGTACAGGGGATGAGATCCAAAGCACAGCACAACAGTTTTGCTTAGGTGAGAAAATAGAGATAAAAGTTAAGGAAAGCTGGCGTGGCTAGAAGTCATAGCACTATGTTCCAGAGAGGAGGAAACGATGTAGAAAGAGCTCTAGAAATCTGAACCAGGGAGTCCCCTTGAGTTTTTATTGAATACTAAGATAAGCATGAGTAAGGTGTAACTCCACGAGAAGGGCAGAGAATGACCAAGGAATGAAAAGATGAGAAATTCTAAAATTTCACACAAGGTAGGGAGACATTTGCATTCCAACCAACTAAAACATAGAAATCCCAATGGGGATACCAATCAGAGCTTTCAGTTGAAATCCCAATAGGATAAAGCCTTAGTAGCTAAATTAGTCTTGCAGTAATGGCCACTTTTAACTGTAGACCTATACAAAAAAAGGTTAAAAAGATCAATTTGACAAATAAGTAACTTAAAACTGCTAACAGAAAAAATAAGCCCAACACCCTTTAAAAGGAGATGAAGCTCAGCCAGCATGGCTCAGCAATTGAGCATAGACCTATGATCCAGGAGATCAAGGTTCAATTCCAGGTCAGGGCACATGCCCGGGTTCGAGCCAGATCCCCAGCAGGGGGCATGCAAGAGACAGCCAATCAATGACTCTCTCTCATCACTGATGTTTCTGTCTCTCTCTCCCTCTCCCTTCCTCTCTCTGAAATCCATAAAATATATTAAGAAAATTAAAATTTAAAAAAATAAAAGGTGAAATCCACACACTCAAAAATGTTCACATCTACAACATTCACAATATTCAGCATTCAATCAAAAGCTACAAACATGCAAAGAAGCAGGAAAGGTGACCAATAACCAAGAAAAAAATCATTCATAGAAACAATCATAGAAATGACAGAACAAAATTAGCAAAGGACATTAAGTCATTATAAATATACCTAATATGTTCAAGAATTTAAAGAAAACATGAATGAATGAGGGAAAGAGAATAAATATATATATGTATATATATATAAAAAACTGAATGCAACTTCAAGAAATGAAAAACACAATTTCTGGAATAAAAACTATCCAGATATGCTCTAAAGCAATTAGACATTGGAGAAGAAAAGATCAGTCACTTGGAGACACAGCAATAGAAACTATTCAAACTGAAGCCCACTGAGGGAAAAAGAACGGGGGGAGACAAGTTTCAGAGATCTTTTAACAATATCAAATAGAGAATATCAAAAGAGAGAGAAAGAGAAAGAAAGATAGAGAGAATGAGGGGGGGAACCCCAGGAAAAAGAGGAGAAAATGTAACAGAAAGAAAATTTGAATTTTAAGATTATGTAATGGCTGAAATTTTTCTGATTTTCATTAAAATTATAAACTTGTAAATCCAAGAAGCTCAACAAATACCAAGCAGGATCAATGCACACAAAAACACAGCAAGGCATATTATTATCCAGTCACTGAAAAAAAAAATTTTTAAGCAGTCAGAGAAAAAGCATTATATAGAAACAAAGGTAAGAATATACCAGAAGACAATGGAACAATGTATGTAAAGCATTAAAAGAAAAAAGCTGTCAATTTAGAATTATATATCCAGGAAGTATAGGAAGTATATATAATAAAGATTAAGACAGACACAAACTAAGAGAATTTATCACTGCAATAAATGGTACAGGAAGTTCTTCAGGCAGAAATAAAAATGGTATCAGATGGAAACTTGGAACTATAAGAAAGAAAGAAGAGCAAATGGTAAATACATGGGTGAACATAAAAACCTTTTTCTCTCATTTTTTAATTGTTTAAAAATATCATTGATAGAGAAACTGGAACCTTGTGCACTGTTGGTGGGAGTATAAAATAGTGCAGGGGCTATTGAAAACAGTATGACAGACAATTCCGTAAGAAATTAATACGGATGAAACTTGAGGACATTACACTATGTGAAATAAGCCAGTCACAGATACTGTATAATTCCAATTATATGAGGTACCTAGAATAGTCAAATTCATAGAGATAGAGAGTAGAAAGGTGGTTGCCAGAGGCTGGGAGAAGGGGGAACAGGAAGTGATTGTTTAAGAGGTATAGAGTTTTGCAAGATGAACAAAACTTGGTCGATGGTGGTGATGGTAACATAACAGTATAAATGGTTTTTTTTTAACGTATCTTTATTGATTTCAGAGAGAGGAAGGTAGAGGGAGGGAGAGAGATAGAAACATCAATGATGAGAGAGTCACTGATTGGCTGCCCCCTGCGCTCCTCTAACCGGGAATCAAGCCCGAAACCTGGCATGTGCCCTGACAGGGAATCGAACCATGATCTCCTGGATCCTTAGCAGAGGCTCAACCGCTGAGCCACACCCGGCCCGGCAGTGTAAATGTTCTTAATGCCAATAAAGTGTACAATTTAAAAAGGTTAGATGATAAATTTTATGTTACGGTTATTTTACCACAATTAAAATAAATAATGTAAAAAATACATGACTTTTTAAAATAAAAATAATAACAATATATGGTGGGGTTTACAACATAAGTACAATGTAAAGTTAATAAATATATGGCAATAAGAGCATAAAGGAAAGGAGAAGGAAATGAACTATTCTGACACAGGAGTTATACATTATTCATGGTGTGAAATAATATTATTTGATGGTAGACTGTGATAAGTTAAAATTGCACACTGTAAACTCTAAAGGAAGCAATTAAAAAAAGAGAGTATAGCCCAGCCGGGCATGGCTCAGCAGTTGAGCACCAACCTAGGATCCAGGAGACAGCGGTTCGATTCCTGGTCAGGGTACATGCCCAGGTTGCGGGCTCATTCCCCAGTAGGGGACATGCAGGAGGCAGCCGATCAATGACTCTCATCATTGATGTTTCTCTCTCTCTTTCCTTCTCCCTTCCTCTCTCTGAAATCAATAAAGATATATTAAAAAAAAAAAAAAAGAGTATAGTTAATAAACTAAAAACAGAGACAAAACAAGATGCTTAAAAAATATTTACTTTATCCAAAATAAGGCAAGAAAAAAGATTATTTGGACCAAATACAAAAAACAAATACGAAAAAAGCAAGAAATAGTGATTTAGGGTGGTATAATATCTTAGTACTTGAGAACATAGCTTTGGAGTATGATAGTCCTAAATTAGAGCCAGAGCTCTACCACCCTACCCACTACCAAATTATTTAAATTCACTGAGCTCAACCTAACTCATCTGAAAAACAAGAAAGGTATCATCTATCTCACAACCACTGTGAAGATTAAATGGGATATTATATACACATAACTTCTAAACATATGGTAAATTATAAACATGTTTTCTCCAGTTATTTTAATCATTATTTCAAACTGTAACCACATTATAATAAATCTATCAGTTATGACTGGAAGAAAGCAATTGATTTTTTTTCCATTTTATCCATTTTCTTTTTTTTTCTTTTTTTAAATATATCTTTATTGACTTCAGGGAGAGGAAAAGAGAGGGAGAGACAGAGATAGAAACATCAATGATGAGAGAGTCATTGATCGGCTGCAGCCCACAACCCAGGCATGTGCCCTGACCGGGAATCGAACCCTGATCGCCTGGATCCCAGGTCGACGCTCAACCGCTGAGCCATGCCCGGCTGGGCCATTTTATCCATTTTCAACGATTGATTTTTTGCTCTAACTTACGTGAAACAGTACTTTGGTGCAAGTAGAAGTCAACAGGCAACTTACCTGTGGAAACCATCTTTCAAAACTTCTTGCCTCAAAATAATTTCAGAACAACTGGCCCTTATGCCTGTAGAACCAAAATATTTTATTTATTTACTTATTATTTATTTATTTATAAAAAAATGTCTTTATTGATTTCAGAGAGAGGAAGGGAAAGGGGGAGAGAAATAGAAACATCAATGATGAGAGAGTCATTGACTGGCTGCCTCCTGCCCGCCCTCTGCTGGGGATTGAGCTCCCAACCCAGGCCTTCACACTGACCAGAATCGAACCTCGATCTCCTGGATCATAGGTCGATGTTCAACCACTGAGCCATGCTGGCCAGGCAAAAGATTTTTTTAAAAAATAAAACAAGCACTCATGAAAGAATACTTAAATAATTATAAAATAATTGTTTTAATAGGCTTTACTTGCTTGAAAAATCTAACCAACCTAAAAATAAACAAAACCTTTTAAAACTTAAGCAAGTTGAGCTACATCCACTTCTAGCATACCATGGGAATTAAGAACATTGAATTTGAAGTTAGACTGCCTATCTTCAAAATCCTGTCTATCATTTAATACCTGTGTGATTTTGCCCAAGAGAGTTTATTGCTCTGCTAGTTGTCATGAGAACTTAATATACATAAAAGTATTTAAAACAGGTCCTACCACATAATGCCATAGAGGGTGGGGCTTACAGTACTCAAAAGTACTCGAACCACCCAGTTTATTCTTGTATTACTTATTATCGTATATTTGCCATACAAACAGNCCTACCACATAATGCCATAGAGGGTGGGGCTTACAGTACTCAAAAGTACTCGAACCACCCAGTTTATTCTTGTATTACTTATTATCATATATTTGCCATACAAACAGCTGTAAACCTACTTTTGCCCCACCCTGTATATAAGTGCTTGTTATTAATATTACTTTATTCAGGTTATCCCAGGACACCAAAAAGAACAGAATGACTAAAAANTTTATTCAGGTTATCCCAGGACACCAAAAAGAATAGAATGACTAAAAACAAGGCAGAAAATCTCAGGTTGTTTTTTTTCTATTATTTTTAGAGAGAGAAAGGAGTGGGGAGAAACATCGATTTGTTATTACACTTATNACAAGGCAGAAAATCTCAGGTTGTTTTTTTTCTATTATTTTTAGAGAGAGGAAGGAGTGGGGAGAAACATCGATTTGTTATTACACTTATTTAAGCATTCATTGGTTGATTCTTGTATGTGCCCTGACCAGGGATTGAATCCACAACCTTGGCATATCCAGACAATGCTCTAACAAACTGGGCACCAGGGCAAGATTTGCCTGACTTTTAAAGCCTCAGATATTGCCACTCTCCTAGCTATTTAAAGAAAGCCTTGTTTTGTAAAAACATATATAATCTTTTCCCAAACACATAACTTTGGCTATCTCTTGTACAAATCCAGATGTTTCTTCATCATGTTTAATTTTAATTGGGGTGGGGTGGGGAATGATATTAATTTAGGGAAAAAGGTCAGATTAACGGTTTAAATTATGTTGGGATATACACTAGAGTAGTAAATCACATTCATCTTGGGATAGTAGAAACGCTAATTTACACACAGTATTGCAAATACTAGACAGTTTATGATTTTTAAAGGAAAAATACCATTTTCAAAACGAATTTGTTGCATCTAAATTCAACTTCAAATTTTTTTCTCTGAAGTATCACTTTATTTGGTTATTGTGGTCTGTACTGGCTCTGGAAATTGACCCATTTAAATATAAAATGCCATTGCGGTAAGAGTCTAGAAATCACCAAATCCAGTTGTTTAAAATATCTTTTTGGCTTCATCATCTTTTCTGCATATAAACTCAGAAACCTAATACGTAAACACACAAAAAACAGAACGGCACTGACTGACAGATATTAGTATATCATTTTCCAGAAGGGAGAAACTCACGTGGTTTGTTCTGACCTTCCTTTCCCTATCAAACGTTTTGGCTTCATCTAATTGTCATTACAGGAATCCGTCTTCCCCACCACGCTGAAAGGTCTAGGAGGGTTGGGGCTGTGGTTTTGGCTCAGGGCTGAATCCACAACACATAGCATAGCACTCCAGCCCACGGAACTGGGGCCCAAAGAAATCAATCAACTCGCTTGCCTAGACAACCCAATCCAGTCTATTATCAAAAACGTTTGTAAAACAAAACTAGCCGTCCTCTTCCCACGCCCCCAGAGTCTCTATATTCTGGATTGGGATTCTCACACCTCACAAGGGCTTTGCTGGCTTCTTGTTGGTAAGAAGTTTCGCGCATCCCCAAACGCTTCATGGCTGCATTTCCTTAACAATATTTTAGTAACAGTGTAGCCAGTCCTCCCTCGGAATAACAAAACCCGACTCTCTAGAGTCCAAAGAACTATGCGGAGGGGCGGGCGGGGGGAGAGGGAGAG